TATGGAGGATCGAACTCAGGACCTTGTGCTTCCAAGACAGGCGGTGGGACCACGGAGCTAAATCCCCGGCTCTCCCGTCTCCACTTAAGCACTAGTTCTTTTCCTCAGTCCATGCGCGCCCAATATTGTATCACTGAATCCCGTCTTTGCTTTACTTCATCCCTTAGCAGCAGTTGGTGCTACTGCACCTTTAACGCCCTCTTCAGAGATCCTGCTAGTTCTTGGAGCCCTGTGTTTCCTTCTCTGCACCTTGTGTCGCTCAGGTACTGCTCTTCTTCAGTCATTTCCAACACTGTCAGCGCTACCCCGGGTGTCACCCCTCTGACCTCACCTGCACCTGCGACATCAGGAACAAACTCCCTAGTCCCCAAAACAGCTCTCTTGTGTACCGTGCTGCAGGCAGCAGAAGCTTGGGAGAAGTTTCCAGCAAAGCCACAGACACCTCCGCCAGGAAGCCGTGTTGCAGATCCGCCGCAGATCCCTCTGCAGCATCTGCACATTGACCTTGAGGAGCTGGTTTACCCTCCTGAGCTGCAGACAGTACAGGACGGTCTGTGCAGAAGCTGCACTGCGGTCCCTTTGCGGAAGGGTTCTGTGGCTCTCTGTGTGACACAGCGGCAGTTCGAGCCCTGTCTCCCCATACCGCTTGCTAAATACAGTTGCCACCTCCAGTCTGCTCCCTGAAAAGGATTCACATGTACTTTGGAGAAATAGCTTTTCCTCTTCTATACTCACGTCCCAGCCTAATGCTTCACGCACCACATGGGACACACACTTCTGTCTCCCTCCAGCTCGGAGCCGCCCAGAAGGAAACGCTACATTTTACATTTCAAAGCTCGTCATAAGCTCATTGTGCATATTATTTAATTAATTCTGGTTAAATAAGCACATGGAAAAAAGTGTGGATTTTGCTGTAAAGTATAAGAGATATAATATTTAAACCTTCTTTGTAAGAATTCAAATGTATAATTTCTGGGTTTAATGTACAGAAAGCATGTTAAACAAATTGATACTTAATAGTGTTTTTTGACAAGCCATGGCTAAACATTTTCATATTTTAAAGTCTGAAGGGTTTTACATTATTCCTATTGGTAGTATTTTGGATCAGTAGCTATACATGAGCTGTGATTTTTTAACTGTATTTCATTTTTTCTAAAATTTGAATCTTTCGCACAGGCTTCTGTGTTGCCACCGTGGGCATTGCAGTGTTGATACGAGTTCTGACCACATTCCTTATGGTGTGTTTTGCTGGATTTAACCTAAAGGAAAAGCTATTCATTTCTTTTGCGTGGCTTCCGAAGGCGACAGTCCAGGTAATGACAGACAGGATAGTTTACCATTTGAACTACTATGTCTGTGTGATACTTCCAAATATTGAATAAAAAGGCTTATTTAAATTATGACAATAAGTAATTGCAGCTGGACTTATAAAGCGTTACATGAATCTACTCTAAAAGTTTTATCCTGAGGCCAGGAGAGGTGGTGCACACCTGTGGTCCCCAACCACTTGGGAGGCTGAGGCAGGAGGGTTAGGATTTGAGGTCACCTTGGCAACTAAGACCCTGTTTCAAAATTATAAAAGTACCAAAAAATAAAATAAAGGTGTGGAGAGTGTGTTCAGTGGTGAAATGTTGCCTAGCCTGAGGTAGGCCCTGGGTTCTATCCCAAACCCACCTCTCAAAATGAAAAACTTTTAGTTTGGGTATATTGTTTAAATTACAGCTCTTTCTTGAGTTCATTCCTGGCATGGGGTCCTCCTTGCAGCGGTCCTCCCTGCGCCACCTGGAGCCCTTGTGGCTCCTCCCCAAGTCCTTTGGAATCTTAACAGCTTTACCCAAGAGAACAAGGCATTTCATCAACGCTATCACAAAGACACTAGCTACTCTCCTAAAACCAGAGAGAAAATCACGTCTGTTCTTTGCTAAAATAGGTACAACATGGTGAAAGTAGGAAAGTGTTACAATAGTTAAGTTCTTATGGAAACTCAAGAGCGAGCTGTAATTTAATCAATATACCAAATAAATGCAGCGGCCCATTTAAATACCTTTCATCACCAGAATAAAACTAGAAATCCTGGAAACCCTACACAAGTAGAGAGCAGTAGCAACAGAAGAGGCTCATTTGAACTTTTATCAGTTGGAGCTCTTTAAATTACCTGAAGAAAGAGATGTGAACTCTTTATTTCAGTGTCTTCCAGGTCGGGAGTGGTGGCATTTGCTTATAATCCCAGCACTTGGGAGGCTGAGGCAGGAGAGTCACTACAAATTCGAAGCCTGCCTGCCTAAGCTACATAGTGAGTTCAAGGCCAGCCTGAGGTACACAGTGAGACCCTGTCAAAAAAAAAAAAAATGCAAACTTTCAGTATCTTCCAAAAGAGAGTACCACAGAAATGGCATGGCCATCCTAAAGTTTGGGAGTACTTCGTGTCGGCATGAGTGAGAATCAATTACTGTTGACCGAAGTATACACAATCAAGAAAAGATTTATCCAAAAAAAACCTCGGAAAATGCATCCCAGTCCCAGTAGTCCTTCTTCAGCCACAGGTTCACTTCCTGTGGCTTCTGTCACCCATGTCTGGTCATGACCCAGTCATACTAAGTGGAAAATTCCGGAAGGGAAGGGTTTGTTAGTTCTACACTGTGTGTGGTTTCCATAGCAGGATGAAACCTTGCCCTGTCCCACTCCATCCTGCGGCGTCCCATGGGGACTCGAACCATGTCCGCACTGCCCGCACCCGGCCTGTGAGGCAGAGCTGTGCTCCCATCCTTACTTACACAACAGTGGCCCGGAGTGCAGAGCTGGTGATGCCTGCAGATTTCATTAGCCTAAGTGGAGACCTGTGTGCTTCCTGTAGGTTAAAAGGTGAAAGTTCTTAGCTTCAGAAGGAAGAAGCATGTGTCCATAGGGCTTAGCGCTGTGTGTTCCATGTAGGCACTGGGAATTTTGGGACACACCCCAGGATAAGGGGAACCATTGGATTGATTTTCTAGATTGCTAGTTGCTATTAATTATTCACAGTTAGCCGGCACTCCCAAGAAATGACTCAATCTTTTGACCCAAAAACTTGTGTACTCTAATGAGCAAGTAACAAAGAGAGCACTTTAGAGACTGGTGCTTTGGATGTTGATTGTGCTTTTGTTAGAATATTTGTTCATTAAATTAGAACTGTATAATTATAACTTGTGGCAAATGTATCCCTAATAGTACTATATATTTTGGGATTACTTACATCAAGTAAGACTTCACTGTCGTCTTTCTCCAATTAATTTGCAGTGGATTGATGCATGCACACGTTTATTTTAATACAGTGAAAATCAGATGTCTTCATTTAGGAGTCTTTGAAAGATGTGTGTGTTCTGTGATGATACTCCAGATTGGATGCAGTATGGACTTGGGCTTTAAGCCCAGAGTTTTCTTTTTTTCCACGAGCCTGGGATAGATTGACTAACACTATTGATAGTAACTTCAGTAGGTAAATATCAAAATAGTAACTGTGTGGAAGGTGTGTTTCTAAAAGCTGTTGTTCAGAGATGCCAGCCTCCGGCCATGAGAGCGGTATTTTCGTATGTGGACACTTGATGGAGGCTGTGCCCGGCACTGTGTGCCGTGAGAGGTGATGCTCCCTCAGGTCCCCTGGGGAATTGGTTTCAGAGCCCTCCTCCACCCCATCCACCCACACCCTGTAAGTCATCTCCAGACTACTCACAAAGCCCACTACACTGTAAATACTGTGTGAGCAGTCATCACATCCCTGGGGAAGACCGGCAGGAAAACGTCTGTGCTTTTGGTGCAGCTGCAATTTATTTTTGATAGTTTCAGTCGGTAGTTGGTTAAATTTATAGATGCAAAGCAGGAACAGGCAGAGCTGAACATAGGATTTTCTGTTTTCTGCTGTGGATACTGCACAAGAAGCAGTACTCATATAGATAATTTTCTTTCTGTATTAGTAGATTTTAAAGTTCTTTTCCACCATCTATATGGTGTGAGAGATCTATTTTACATCACAGTACAGTACACATACCAATCCCCAAACGTCCGTGCAGCACACTCATGTAGAGACCTGGGAGAGAAACGCCCTGCAGTGTCACATGTGACGCTCTCGCCTTTCCATCAGGCCGGCGGGGGCCTTCCAGGGCCGAGCTCTGCAGGTGCCCCGCATCCTGAAATCACCCTCAGCCACGCACGTCCATTCCTCCTCGAGGTGGGGGGGCCCCCCGAGGGCTCGCGCCCCCTAGTGGCCAGAACTGAGATGTACAGCGCCGTCTAGTGGCTCGGAAAATGTTAAATTCTGTGGACCACAGGGTGACCAGCGGCAGGCCCTCAGCTCTCTAGAGGGAGAAGGGACTGGATGTTTACGGGCAGCTGCCAACCCCTGCCGTGCTGTCTGATGCACAGTGCTTTTCCTTCTGCTTCACCACCTATAGAACAACACATTCGTTTAAAATTTCATTAGAATCCAATAAATGTTCTGCCTCTCTCCTGTACTGCGTATTGAACCCAGGGCTTTCTCACTGAGCTGCATTCTCCACTCTTTTTTAATTTTGCTTATTTTTGAGACAAGTTCTTACCAAGTTACTGGGGCTGGGCTTCAATTTGCAATCCTCCTGCCTCAGTCTCAGAGTGCTGGGATTGTGGGCGTGCACCATGCCTGGCTCTTTTTCTTTTCTTTTCTTTTTGTACTGGTGATCAAACTCAGGACCTTGCACTTGCGAGGCAGGTGGTGGAAGCACTGAGCCAAATCCCCACCCCCGGCTCTTTTTCTTAATTCCAAATTGTTTGTTTTTGTACCGAGGATTGAACTCAAGACGTTGTGCTTTCGAGGCATGTGGTGGTACCACTGAGCTAAATCCCCAGCCCTTAATTCCAATTTTTTAAAGACAAAAAAACGATACAACCAGTAATGTTCATCTTTACTCAGGAGAATTTTAGTATGTAGAACATCATGCTCCCTGTGCGCTGGATTAACTCTCAGTCCGTATTTTCCTTGCATTCTGAGGTGTATGTGTCTGACATTTCAGTACCCTACAGGTAGGTACATGTGCCTCATCAGTTTGTCCCGTACAAGGGCAGGGAGAATTTGTAGGCGATCAAAGCCTACTGCAGTAAAATTGGAAAGAAGACTAATATAGCTTTCTTAGTTGGGCAAAAGAATAAGCAGATTATTTTTACAAATGTGTGCTTATCTTGTTTCCAACTTGAGGCTGCAATAGGGTCGGTGGCTTTGGACACAGCACGGTCACACGGAGAGGAGCAGTTGGAACATTACGGAATGGACGTGTTGACAGTGGCCTTTTTGGCCATTCTGCTCACGGCCCCCATGGGAAGCCTGCTTATTGGTTTGCTGGGCCCCAGGTTTCTCCAGAAGCTTGAACGTCAAGACGAAGATGAAGTTCCACAAGAGACTTCTGTGCGGCTTTAGAGGTGAGAAGAGAAAAATGCTGAACATAACGATTAGAAAGCTATCACCAGTGGTGAATTCTAGCAAGATGAATTTTGAACTGTGTAATGTTTAAGTCTGAAATATAACAGAACCGAACGTATGGCTATTTACACAGCAGTTTGAGCCCCTGCCCTTAGCACATGGGTGGTTGTGTAGTCTATGTCTGATCTCTCTGCCTTCTTTTCTTTCTTTTCCCCAGCTCCTCTTTATTTTATATCTTTACCCTTCAACGCCTAGGGATCCATTTTTTGAATCCTCATAACAATGGAATATAATGAAATGTGCTCTTTTCAAATTCTTGTTCCTTGAATTTTTCTAAGAAATGAATTTCATGCTAACATTCAGAAACTTTCAGTGTTCGCATAAGTGGGTTGGTTTGCATAAGGGCATTATCTACAACTCAGACTTAACAAAGGAAAGACCAGTTTCAGTCTCTTCAGCTGCCGATAGCTTGCTTGCACTTACTGTTCATGTTCGCTGTCGATTTCGCTGTCGATTTCGCTGTCGATTTCGCTGTCATTTTTGCAGCCTCGGTCTGAGCCTCCATGACTGTTGAGTACTGGCTTTTCAGCTTCTTCCATGATCTCTGAAAACATAAGCCAGTGACTGCTAAGTCTTAGTAGGGATTTACTTAACGCTAGACAGTATTGAGTCCAGATTTAAGATGACTCTTTGGGGCTCACTGCTTGAAGCCTTGCTTTTATCACCACATTTAAAGTAAAGCTTTTGAAACCATTTCACAGTTATAGTTCTGTATGACTCATTTGTGTAGGAATGTGTAACAGGTGGAAAATGCTTCAGCCACTTGAGGAACAAGTGGCATCACATTTTTTTCAGCTGATTAACTCAAACTAAATCTGGCCGAGCCCCCTGAGCTGGTGAGAAGGCTGAAACTTCAGTAGGATGTGCCCTTCAGCTTCCGTACAGGGACCCCGGGCACTTAAATCTCCACGATTCCATTGCTTCCCGTGCAGGCCACTGCACTCCTTGCAGCGGTCCTCCCTGCACCACCTGGACCCCTCGTCGCTCCTCCCCAAGTCCTTGGGACTCTAACAGTTTTTCCTAAGAGAACAAGACATTTTATCAACCCTATTACAAAGACGCTAGCTACTCTCCTAAAACCAGAGAGAAAATCACATCTGTTCTTTGCTAAAATAGGTACAACATGGTGAAAGTAGGAAAGTGTTACAATAGTTAAGTTTTTATGGAAACTCAAGAAAGAGCTGTAATTTAATCAGACTTTGGGCTAAGTCAGCTTTCCATTGCTGTCATGGCAAACCCAGGACAATCGACTTGTAAGGAGGAAATTATTTTGGCCCGTGATTCGTCCATGTCAGTTGGTCCCCTTACTTTTGGGCCCGGGCAGGGCATTACATCATAGCATGCCATGTACGGTGAAACAAAGCTGCTGACCTCATGGCCAGGGACTGAAAGGTAAGGAAAGGGACCGGGTCCCCAGGCCCCTTCAGGGAACACCACAAGGACCCAGCTTCCCCCGACCAGGCTCTACTTCTTGAGATGCCACAAGCTGGAGCCTGAGGCTGCAGTGCATGCGCTTGGGGCGGGGGGTCATTTAATAACCAAAGCAGCCAGGCCTTTCACAGTGGAGAAAGCGCTCCTGGGGGACGAGATCACGTCAGATAAAACACTGAGGAGAGAGGAACACACTGTTCAGAAGTAAAAGTTGTTTTGAGGAAAATGCAGGCTGGGGATTTAGCAGTGGCATTGCGCCTACCTCACCAGTGCAAGGTCTCTAGTTTGGCTGGGGAGGCGGGGAGGTGCAGGTTGCCTTCTGAAGAAGTTTGGGCTCGCTCCCAAAATAGTTGTTTTCCATGTACTGTTTTGAAACCAGGGGATTCCTCGAGAGGTGCTTGACAGACACCTGTGGGACCCACCTTCGGCCTCGACAGCTCTACCTTATGAAACTTGGAACCTAGACTTAATGAGCACAAAATAAAAAGATTTTACATGGTAACAGGTACCCAAGTGTTTCCTTCCTACAAGATGCCTGTCTTTTATTTCAGTCCACATCCCACGTGCACAAGGACCCTGCACAGGGATGGGGCGAGGTCCTTCTCACCTGAGTCCTGGATTCAAGGTTCCCTGGATCCCTCTCCTGAGTCGACGGCGGGGTGGGGGGTGGGCGCGGTCATGGGCCCGGTACCCAAAAAGCAGGAGGAGCTGATCACTACGGCTGAGCTGGTGCAGAAGCCACAGGAGTCACAGGTAGGTGGGGCCCAGGTCCCCTGGACTGGGGCAGGGTCTGGAAGCACTGAGGCTTCGGGCAGCACACGGCAGGCAGGGGAATCCCTGGGCCCAGGAGGGTGGGTGCTGCCGGCCCGGAGGCAGAGGGCCGAGGCCTGGGGCTGTGGGTCAGCCCAGAGATTGGTGCTGGGTGCCTGGGGAGGCCGGGGCCTGAGCAACACTGCTGCACATCCCAGAATCAGGGGCCCGCACCCCCAACTCACTCTGCGGAGTGCGCACCTGCCAACAGGACTTCAGGACACCCTTCCTGTCCCTACTAATGACATTGCTTACAAACGTACCCAGGTGTTGGTGGTGGGCTCCTAAATCCCAGCCCTCTGCAAAGCTGAGGCAGGAGGATCCAAAATTAGAGCCCAGTCTGAGCACTTTAGCGCCTTAGTGAGACCCTGCTTTGCAAGGTGGAGGGGACGGAGATAACTGTGTGGAGGCCTAAAGCCTGGCTGTAGTTCTTTTATAGGTTGGGACGCTGACATCCAGGGCTCGAGCCTTTCCTCGCCTGCTCTCTCTGTCTTCTCCACCCAGCACGTGGCAGGGCGGGGCGGAGAGGTGTTCACAGGATGGGAACCTCAGCTGAGGCAAGGCAAAACACCTCCCGAGGCCTGGTGACCCCGCGTGCAGGGACCGGCACCCGGCTTTCGGGCCCTGACCTGGGAGGCCTGGTCTGAGTCACCCCACTGCAGGTCCTGCCACTGAGATGAGCCGTCCCGAGGGCCCGGCCATCAGCATGTGGGGGCTGGAGGGTTATCTGCAGCAGTCGGAAATCAGGGTGGGAGAGAAAAGGGATGGCGACTCTGTAAAATTGGTGCTGACTTCAGGGACAAGGAAACGGCAGCCATATTACAGTGGAACAGAGAAGACAGGCGTTCAGGAGTTAGGATGAAGCCGAACGTGGTGGTACAGGCCTGTAATCCCAGCCCTCTAGGAGGCTGAAACAGGAGGATCTCAAGCGGGACAGTCCCCCACCCCAGGATACTTAGCAAGACATTGTCTGAAAATCAAAAATGGTAAAAGAGGAATACAGCTCAATGTGAAGGCCTAGGGTTCAAAGCCCAGTTTTCCTCCCAGTACCAAAGAGGAAAAAAAAGAGAATTGGGTTTAATGATGGCCACACGTTGATAATAAATGACAAGTTGTTATGGTTGGGGTCTGGATGTCCCCAAAGCCTCATGCAGTCAAAGTTGGCCTTTTTCAGAGGTGGCTGGATCCAGGGTGTGTGGAGCTGGGATGGATTCCTGGTGCAGTGCTAGGATCAAGGGCGCTGGGATTAAGGGTGTGAATGCCACTGCCCTACGTAGCCTGGCTGAGGTATAAGGACAGGAAGGATGTGGTCCTCCCTTGTGGCTTTGCTGTTTTATTCCTGCCATGGACTGTTTCTCCTCTGCAATGGCAGCCTTTACTAGGAGCCAACCAACTATGAACTGAAACCTCTTCAAACTGTGAGCTAAATAAACCTTTCCTCCTTGCACTTTGAGTGTTGGGTGTTTTCTCTCACCAATGAGAGAAAAGTGACTTAAGCGGAATTTATAAATCTTTCATTAAATTTTACTTTTTCCATTCAACACACAGGTATAGCTTGAGATCTTTTGTAGGTTCATAGCTGCTTTGTGCCTCCCAGTTAGTGTGGCCGAGACTGTGGTTGGGGTGTGTTTTCCTCTCTAGAACTATGGGAAAAGTGTGTCACCTGCAGAAAGCCTGGGCACAGGGTGATGGCAGCTGTCTGCATGGCTGTGCTCTGAGCACACTCGGGGGTGTCTGCTGGCTTGGGCCGTGCGTGGGGCCTATAGCGGGGGAAGCGCGAGCTTACTCCACATGAATTAAGAGAGGATGGGTGCGGAGCCCTGTGTACAGCCTGGAACCATTTCTTTCTCACCGCTGTGGTGCTGACCCTCTGCCTTCCAGCCCAGCTGTGAGTGTTTCTGTGTCATGCTTACATTCTCCCTCTCAAGCCTGTCTGGTGTGGTGGCCCTTGTGGTCGGAGAGGCCACGTGTCACGCTCCACAGAAGGGAGGGTGAGGACAGTAACCAGAGGGGAGCAGAGCCCAGCCGGCTGTCAGGCACGGGGTGTCCTCAGAGATGCCCACCCCAAGCCTCTGCGCCTGTGCCCCCCACTCCAGCCCGGACCCTGCCTCTCCCTCCCCAGTGGCTCCTGGCTTCCTTCCCCTCTCAGCCGCTTCCTGCATCTCCCAAAGGCTCCCCCAGGACGCCGTCCCCTTCCCTGAGCCAGTGTGTGTTTTCTGAGGTCTCAGCTGTGCTAGTCCTCTGCAGTGGATGTGCTGTGCACTGCATCTGCTTCTGATTTGCTGTCCTGTGGGTGAGAGCTGGGTGAGAAAGTGATGCTTGGACTATTTCATAATTGCTGCTGTGTCACCCAGCCTGTCGCAGAGGTTGGCCTGGTACCCCAGGCCTGCAATCCTGGCAGTAAGGGAGTCTGAGGCAGGAGGATCACGAGTTCAAGCCCAGTCTAGGCAACTTAGGAAGACCTTGTTGCAAAAGAAAAATAAACAAATGTAGACGGTTGGGCAGGAAGCTCAGTGCCAATTCCCAGGATCCATCCTTAGTCCCACACAGACCAAATCCCATTCATGCAGCCGGGGGCTCATGTTCAACCTTGGTCACCACCAGACTGTTCTGGCTGGGAAATGTGTCCGAGCGGAGTGGCTGGGAAGGGCTGCCAGGGTGTCCCAGACCGATGTCCACTTGTGGGTGACTTTGGTGGCCAGCACGGCCTGTCCTGGTGCCCCTGGAAGTGGCAGACATCCGTGCGCCCTGTGCCCTGTGGCCTGGAGCACTGGATATTGAATCCCTCTGCAGGTGACGGCTCTGTGCACTTTCCACAGACAGGGACATGGCTGACCCGACGGAACAGTACAGGATGGACCACGGGAGGAGAGGGCTGGCCGTCATCTTCACCCAGGAGCACTTCTGGCAGCTGATGCTGCCGGAGAGGAGGGGCACGAACGCCGACAGGGACAATCTGGCTCGCAGGTAGCAGCTGTGTCTGTGTCGATCACAGCCTGCTGAGCTCACAGACCAGGGCCCCCAGGACTGCGGTCCTCAGCTCACACAAGGCCGGCTCCCCGGTCCCCAGTGCAGCAGGGCGAGCCCCACGTCCCGAGCTCTCAGCCGCTGCCCTCCCTGTTCATTCCGCTTCTCGCTGTCGCTCACGCACCTGTGTGGCCGTGGGCCGTGTCTAAATGGAACTGGCTTCCACCGGGGCCAGATCCTTTCTTACCGAGGAGGATCGACTGTTGTCATATTTTTTCTTTTCTCCTAAGGAAAAGTAGATTTAGGGGTCATAAGTATGGGTCCAGATGCCTCGGTGGTCAGCATGTAGGGCTGCTTGGAAAAGCTCTTCCGCTGATACCTGATACTTAAAGATCGACTGTTGTCATATTTTTTCTTTTCTCCTAAGGAAAAGTAGATTTAGGGGTCATAAGTATGGGTCCAGATGCCTCGGTGGTCAGCATGTAGGGCTGCTTGGAAAAGCTCTTCCGCTGATACTTAACTTCCTGTGTCACCAGGTTTTCGGAGCTGGGATTTGAAGTGAGATGCTTTAACAACCTGAAAGCAGCGGAGCTCCTGGACAGAATTCACGAGGGTGAGCGGATCTGTGGTAAACCCTTCCTCTTCCTCCCCTGGGCCGGCGTCCTCTAGTCTCTCTGTGAGCACAGGGACAGATGACTGCGTGGGGAAAGGCGTCACGGATGGAGCTCAGGCTGGAGGCGGGGCCGGGCCCCTCTGCTGCTGTTAGGGACCTGATCTGCAGGGCCGGGCTGGGCATCGCACCTGGAGGTCTGTGCTGTGCGAACGCCCCCAGTGACGGCCCAGCAGGAGGGGAAGAGGGCTCTGCACGTCGTGGAGAAGTTACCAGTGCCAGGCCTGCCCCTGCTGGGCTTTGGGCGGTCATTGCTCCCTGCCACATTTCCTCACTGACCGCAGCCGAGACTGGCAGACCTCGGCTCTGTTCTGTGCAGCAGCCTCGGCGCCGGGTCTTGTGGTTCTACAGGCCCAGGCTCGCCCGCCTCTGCTGGGCCACCGTGATCTCTGCACCTTTACTGGAAACTCCCTGTAATCCGTGCAGATCCCTTCCCCTGGCTGCGGACTAGGCTGCTGCTTTGCTCGTGAGCTTGAGGGGCCGAGTGTGAGGTCCGGACTCCTCCGCATGCTGGGAGAGATCAGGCGGGGGCTCCCTGTCTGCTCCAGGAAGCCTCCGGAATTCAGACACTTAGTCTATTGCCCGGGAAGCTGGGATCTTAAAGGAGGCTCCCAGCATGGCCTCACTCACGTCTTCCACATCATCCTGCTAAAAGCTAACAGGTCAGTAGCCAGCTTGCATGAGGGTCTGGCTTTGATCCCCAGCACTGGAGAAAAAAAGAAAAGCTGAAGTTAGGTCAGAACTAGTACTTTCAATTTGGGGGGAGGTTCGGGTTGAGACAGTCTTGTATGTAGTCCGGGCTGGCCTCTACTTTGCAATGGTCCTCCTGCCTCAGCCTCCCTTACAGCCATAAAGTACTTTGCTGAGCAATTTGAACTTTACTATTTCAGGTTTTTAAAAATCAGATAGTTTGGTATAAGTTATTCTATATAATGAAAGCCTGAAATCACATGTTTTTGCATTTGTTGAAGAATAACAACTCCCTTCCCTCCCCAGTCGTATGAATGTGTCTGTCTTCTGGTCGCAGCAAACTGAATTTGTCTGTGTAGATGACAAGTATCTTATTTTCATTTCCGTGTCCACTTTTGGTCCTCCACAGTGTTTCCACAGATTTCTCAGTTCATAATTACAATGACAAACCTTTAGTGCATACAAATTTACTACATAATTTTTATCCAGGTAAATTAAAATT